AAGTGCAAACAAATGCCACTTCTCTCCCAAACCTGAGCTTTGAACTGAGAAATCAATTGCAGTTTCTATTACACAAATTTGATCAGTATAATTGAAGTTTGGGTATACAGTGTAAGGTGTTGCGTCCATCTGAAAAAAATTGATACACGTACATAGAACTTTGGCTATTGGGCAAGTATTTGATGAAGCAGACATTTTTCCACAGTCAGAATGCATCACAATACATTCTCACCTGTACAAATGTCACACCTGCAAGACTTAAGGTACTGGATATTTAGTACTGAAAATATCCATAAATGTACAATTTACCTACAGTAGATAGATCTGTCAAGGATTATCACTGATCAAGTTTATGCAAAATCTGATTGATACACTGAACATTATAAGATATGATTTCTGCACTGGGGAGGTGATACATGTACTTCTTTTAATATGTTGGGGCTTTTGTCCTTCAACAAAACATCTAATGATAACACTGTAGGAAGTTTCTGAAGAGTTTGTGAAAAAATTCACAAGCTTACTCAGGTGGGGTTTGAACCCATGACCTCCTGCTTAACAGTGCAGATGTCTTAACCACTCAACTTTCGAGCTTGCCAGTGTCTGCTGGCCAGTTTGAGTCAAAATTGAAAGACACTTCATGTACAATAATTTTTGGAATCTAAGATGCCTGGTGTATAAGCTACAGCATGCAAAACTCAGCAAATTCAGATTTAAAGTCGGCATATAAGCCGCACTGCAGCGCTAATGATCCAACCATGAAGGTTTATCTCATAGGCCAACTATTTCTTACGAAAAGAATAGACTTTTATGTAAAAAAAACAACTTTTGTAACTGTCCACAACACTCGACGTTTTTGTGATGCCAATCATAGAAACATTGCCAAATTGCTTCCAAAATGAAAAGTCCATTCCGAGACCTTAGTTCAAGTATGGAGAAAGGTTCAAGTCAACATATTGGCACTGCTTGTGTTGGATGCATGCTGCACACGCACTGTTCCCATCACCACGATCCCGACAAACCCGACATTCAGGCTAACCTGACTGCTACGACAAAATCATTCATGCACAGTCCAATCACTTACTCTTTTGGATTACCGTGTGACCACAGAAAGTGTCGTCATCAGAAAACCCAAGTGAAAAAACAATTCTATGGCATGTCACGATGAAAAATCTGCCACACAGAGGTACGGTACACCACTGAAGCGGTTGATTTTTATTTAACGGTAGAAAAAAATAAAAATAAAAAATCTCAGTAAAATGATTGTCTCAAAAAAATACATCTTGAGATTGAATAAAAAGCAGGAAAATAATCACTTAAAAATGTTGCCACAGCAGAGCAAGTAAAGTTTCAATTTACATACATATTCATGTATGTGTTTCGTAACTCCATGGCTCGAGGAATGCCATTAATAACTCAAAATCTGGACAACTCAATTTTTATTTATTTTCTAAGGTTCGAGTTATCAGATGTAAATGGCAACCAACGAAAACATGACTGCGCCACCTGCAAGTGGTATGCATGGCTTTTGTGGCTGATTTTATCCTTCAAAGTCTGCCGTATAAGCCGCCTGGCATATAAGCCACAGAGACATTTTTCAGCGTGAGAATCAACGTATAAAGCCTTGGCTAATCTTCTGAAATCTACGGCCATGGTACTATACATGTACATGTACTGGTATTTCCAGGAAATCCAAGAACAAGTTATCCTTCCGATTTAACTTGGACAGAATTAACTTCTTGTGAATAGGGTCTTACGTAAAAACAAAAACAATTTAAATTGAACACTAGGAAAAAAACCTAAATGGACACTGTACATGTACATGTACAGTAGTTAAATCAACAAAGTTTTTTAAAAAAATGAATTAGTAAGCACCAACTTGTTAGAATAACATGTACATGTAAGTAAAAATCACACAGAAAAGTTAGAAACATGCTAGGTTAGTTCAACTACAGTAAAAACCAAAATTAAAACTTTTTTACATGCCTAATAAATGGCTAGCATACAATCTTGCATCCTGACAACACCAATGTCACTCAAACAGCATTTCTGAAAATAAGAAATTAAAATAAAAAGACACATCCACATAAGGTACGGTACAAGATTTGGCAATCAGAAATGGGCCAGTTAATATTGAACTGTACAATTTTCATTGAAAGTTAATGGTACAGTGTTTGTCTCTGCCATCTGTCTCTTCTATAAACCACTCTCATTTTGCCTATAACTTGTATGGACGGCCAAAGTAGGCAGAAATATCACCTTGTGCTTGTTTTTCCATTTTACCTTGTTCAAAATGGACATTTCTCCCATTAACTTGAAAAAGGGTTGTATTTTCATTTCGTATTTACAGATATATGCATACATCATTATCTGGTGTTCTGATACTAAGTAGCTGTGTGGGATTATTAACACTTTGTGAATCATTCTTTTACTTCTGTACTGATGGCCAACTATATGTGTAGTTATTTAATACTGCAGAGACACGAGCCTGGGTACATAAAAACCTACTGAAACAATCAGGGTGTTTGGTCCCAAAAGAAATGTATCTAATGTGAACCTAAATACTTGAAGTTTTAAATGCAATAATATTGTTAACATAAACACAACCGCCACATTTTTATGAGGACTAAACATGATGGAAACAGCTGTAAATGAGACACCAAAATGTGACCTGGCAATGATGATGGATTAAAAAGTCTGTAATGACTGTTATAAATATGGTTTGATTTTGTTCCTGTTGTGTTTGATGTCGTTATGCCTTCTGAATGCTTGTGTGTACATGTATGTTCAGTTGAATAACTGACAGACAGTGTATTTTGTAAAGTCATCTTTGTTTATGGTAACGTTCGTAACATGTGGTGTCCTGAGCAGTTACGAGTGTGTACGCCAATGCTGCTCTATCACCGCCAAATATGCCGAAACTGTGCATGCCAATGCTGCTCTATCACCGCCAAATATGCCGGAAACTGTGCATGCCAATGCTGCTCTATCACCGCCAAATATGCCAAAACTGTGCATGCCAATGCTGCTCTATCACCGCCAAATATGCCAAAACTTTGCATGCCAATGCTGCTCTATCACTGCCAAACATGCTAAAACTGTGCCCGCCAATGCTGCTCTATCACCGCCAAACATGCCAAAACTTTGCACGCCAATGCTGCTCTATCACCGCCAAACATGCCGAAACTTTGCACGCCAATGCTGCTCTATCACCGCCAAACATGCCAAAACTTTCAGTTTGCTCAGTTGTCCCAATCCATTAAAAACAACCCATCTGTAAATTGAGAACACCCAAGGAATCTGCAACTGTTGCCATGAATTAATTTTGCAGACTTTTCTCACCATGATTGCAATCGCGTTCTATTCCTAACGCGTTATAAGCATGCATTGTGTACCGCGTCAAACGTATACTTGCTGGTGTACGTTCCAGGAAAACCACATGAACACAGCCTTGTACCCAGTATGTATGGCCAACATGCACATGAAATGTTTCCTACAACAGGGAACAAGGATGGGGTTGTGACCTTTGTGTGTCTTCACACGTTGGAACAGCTGTTACACGTGTGACTGTCGAAATTTATGGTTTGCAATCCAAGAAAATGTGAGTCAATCCACTGCCATTGCACAATATTTCTTCATTAGAAGCCCAGTGTAAGAACTTACAGACGTCATATTACCATTCTGTTCTTTTATTTGGCAAACTGTGCTTACAGACCGATTTTTGGATGGTGGCATACATGTGTACGATATATGAAAGTCGCTTGGTGTCCTGTTACAAAAAATAATTTGGAAACATACATGTATGACTGTGATAAGCAGACCTTATTGCCATGATTACAGGTGAGAAGGCTCATGTTCCTGATATACTGCATGTAGCATGACAAGACATGTTTGTCATCCTCTGTATGGCTGAGCTGAAAGAGAGGCTGCACTAGCAAGTTTCAGCCCCTTGTATGAATCTACAAATGTACATGTGGAGTGTACATGAAGCACAGAGACCAACACAGTGTTAGTCTTTGTTATGTGCAACAATGCTTTTGCTCCAGTATAGAATAGAAGATGTTTTAACCCTAACCCAGCTGAACACAACAAGATCCAAGAGCTGTAAATATCTGTTGGATCCTGTTGGATTGAGCAGTAGATGTAAATGGCATATTCTTGTTGGATCTTGTTGAACTCAGCAGGGTTTTCAAGAATGCTGGAATGACTCTGCTGTTGGATTGAGCAGTATCGGAACAGTTTCAGG